TGCAATAAACTGATATCTCAAATTCTGGTAGCTTTCCTAGCTATCTTCTGTAAACTACAAAACACCTTCGCCCTATGTAAAGGAAATTAAGTGAGGAGAGGTGTTTGTAGTCCAAATCAGGAGAGAAGTCTAGGGTGACAATGCTGCTCCCCCAGATATACAGTGCAGCTAGTGTGCATTGTCATCATTGGACAGGGAGTTTGTTACTGGCAGGATTAACAGGTGAAAATAAAGAAAAAACAGCCTTAAAGGATTAGTTTACCTTTTCACAAAACATGGAAAAGCTGAACTCACATTATCCTCTTCATACCCTTGTTGCACTTACATTTTTACTGCTCACACCAGCTGATGTAGCGGAATGGGCATATGAATGCCTTGCTGTTCCTCACTCTTCCTTTTTCTGGGACTCCAGGACGGCTCAGAGAGATTCTCATTGGTCAGTGTAGTCATGTGCAGACACTGACCAATGCCTGCTCACCATTGTAAGCACTATGATGCTACACAGCCTCCGGGCTGTGTATTGAATTTTTCAGGTGCCCTGGCGTCTAGATTAGCTGGCCTCGGCACTAAAAGGTTATCAACAAAAAAAGTAAGTGCAGTGGGGTCCTGGGGAAGGGGAGAGGGTGCAGTGAGTTAGCTCAACATTTTTTGTGAAAAAGTGAGCTAACCTTTTAAGTAAACTAATGGCAGACTCCACATCTAAGGACCTACATTACATTTTGGTTTTGAGTTTAGATACATTTTAAGGGAGATTTACTAAAACTGGTGTACACAGAATCTGGTGCAGCTGTGCATACTAACCAATCAGCTTCCAGGTTTTATTGTCAAAGCTTAAAGTGTTACTAAACCCGTAACAATAAAATCAGTCTGTATATGCAGTAAAGCATGCTTGTTATACTCCCTGTGAAACCTAAGGGGTTAATCATCTGCATTGTGTAAAAAGGCCGTTTGATCCTGTCTTCTCTGCTCCTCTTCTTCAAATGTCCACGTCTTATCTCCTGATAGGACAGACTGATCTTGTAGCCACATGCATATGCTCAGTTTAGTGTGTATTGCTAGAGAGGTTTTTTTCTTCTTGGGAGAGTACATGTGATCAGCGCAGGGCCAATCAGCACTGTCCAGACAGACATCAGGGGTTTTGCATCCTCCTAAAGCAGAAAGAAAACTCCTGCTACAAGCTTTAACCAGTGCTCTGCTGAAGTCACAAGACCGCAATATACTGCTGATGAGAAAAGGTATTTAGCAGTTTATATTTACTATAATAATTGCAATTCCATGTTCTGTGTACTGTGGGAGACCACATAGACTGAATGTAGGGTCCTGAGTTTAGTGACACTTTCATTGAACAAGGTGATTGGTTACTATGCACAGCTGCACCAGATTCTGAGTGGCCAGTTATAGTACATCTCCCCCTTTAAAGTGATAGTAAAGGTATTTGGTTTTTTGTTTGTTAAAATAACAAGCATGTCATACTTACCTGCTTTGTGCAATGGTTTTGCACAGAGCAGTCGAAATCCTTCTCTTTTTGGGTCCCCCACCGGTGCTCTTGGCACCTCCCCACTGCTGAGTGCCACAATAGCAAGCCACTTCCTATTGGGGCACAAATGCATGCTTGCTCCCGAGCCCCACTTTGTGTTCTATGAGGCACACAGAGTGGGGCTCGGCCCCACCCCCTGCTCCTTCGTCAATGGTTGTAATTGACATCAGCAGGAGCCAGTGGCTCCTGCTGCTATATCTGAGCCAGTGAGAAAGGAGAGAGCCTCGGCTCCCATGTGCATCATTGGATCGAGATTGGGCTTGTATGTATTTAGGGGGGCTGCAGGGGAAGCTGCATGCAAAATAATTTTTACTTTACTACATAAAATGCAGGAAGGTGAAAAACCTTCTGCCTTTACAACCATTTTAAGTATTATCAGGCATGCTGAAAAAGTTTTGTGGAACATCAGTGGTCTAAGTAATGTTTTTGTGAGTGTCAAAATGATTAATAAATGATTGGACTGTGGATTGAGCATACAGCAACACGTGCACATTTCAGCGATAAAAAATCACCCACCCTTGTAGAATCACCCGATATTGTTGCTAACACAGTAACACTGAGCAGATCGGAACTGCTACACAGTAGCAAAGGAATGTGATTAATCACACGGAGGTGGGCAATACCGGGACATGTACTGTGCCATTGATGGATCTTCTTGCGTCCTGAGCAATAGGTGTAATTATCAGTGGAGAGGCCAGCGGTAATTTCAAGATTTGGTTTGCAGATGAGCAGATTTGCAGCTTACTTAATAACTTCTAACAAAGATCAATGGTCATGTGCAAAGTGCAGTTTACTCACACGTGTGTTTATGATATTATCCTCTCGAGTGCTATCTATTCCTGACAAGTGTGTAAAGAACCTATGTATTGGTGGCCCATGACGAGTGCTTTCCTCCTCAATCCTGAGTTAATATTAATCAGTCATTCTCGCTGCTGCGGCTCTGTGTAATTAGCTCTGTAAAAACACTCATTAGTGTCTCCTTGCCTGCTTTTAATAAGAACCCTTAATTAAATTCTGACTAGGCAGGGGTCACGTCAGTGTCACTGGGTGGCAGTAAGGGACTTCACCAACTCTTCATTCGCTGTGTGGCAATATATCTAAGATTTTGTTGCTTAATAGAAACCCGTACATCAGATAAATTTAACTAAGCAGTATTGTAGGTGGCAGATGTTAGTCAAATTATTTTCTGCACAAGAGTTTGCTTATTTATCAGCAATGCTGCATTTTTTTGTAATAATGCTGTTTTATTGTTGTCTGTTATTGATTGCTGATGAAATTTACCAAAAAAAAATTTAAATAAAAATAATTCTGATTAACCCCCAAGCCCTGGTTCACACTGGTGCGACTTGTCATGCGATTTGTCAGATCCAAACTATTTGTGCCTAAGAAACCGCTCAAATTGGTGCAACTCCTACTTTGCACTGCCGCTCCGATTTGGAAAAAGGTTCCTGCACAATTTTTTTGAGATTTCATAGTTACATATAGTTACATAGTTAGTCTGGCTGAAAAAAGACAAAAGTCCATCGAGGTCAACCATTAAAAAAAAAGTTATAATTCTATACCCTACCCACAGTTGAAGACATCTTTACATGAAGTCAGATGTCAGACTAGACATACATGAAATCACACCGACCTGCAGCTTTGAAATTAAGTGAAAATAGTAGTGTGATTTCAAAGTCGCTATCAGTGTGAACAAGGGCTTAGTATAAAGGAATATTGTATTCAAATATTATATATCATATTAACTTTAAAAAAAATATTTATAGTCCTCCACAGAAAAGAGATATTGTAAAATAATGAAATGGGGTAGTCTGCTACGTGCAAGGGCCAATTTAGATCCTTGTGGTACGCATGTAGTGTGAACCAGGGCTTAATATAAAGGAATATGAAAAGTTTATATCTATCTATATATATATATATATAGTAAATATATATATATATATATATATATACACATAATATTACGTATTGTATTCAAATATTATATATCATATTATTAATGTTTAAAAAAAATATTTATAGTCTTCCACAGAAAAGAGATATCGTAAAATAATGAAACGGGGTAGTCTGCTACCTGCAAGGGCCAATTTAAATCCTTGTAGTACGCATGTAGTGTGAACCAGGGCTTAATATAAAGGAATATGAAAAGTTTATATCTATCTATATATATATATATATATATAAATAATATTACGTATTGTATTCAAATTATATATATTATATTAATGTTTAAAAAAAATATTTATAGTCTTCTACAGAAAAGAGATACCGTAAAATAATGAAACAAGAGGTAGTCTACTACCCCCAAGGGCCAATTTCCATCCTTGTGGGATGCATGTAGCTGCTGACTTTTAAAAATCAGGTACTTACCAGCATGAGGAGTCCAGCGGTGTCTTTCCCCAGCCGGTTCTTCTTATTGCTGCAGGTCCTAGGTGCCGAGATCTTGGATATGTGAGCTGGCTGTGGGTTCCTGAAGAACCACATTTGGCTCCCCACTGTGCATGCTTTGTGAATGGTCTTGCAGCCCCCCCCCCCAGAAAAAAATCTGTAACTTAAAGGCTTGGAGAGGGAGCGAATCAGTAGTACTTCACTTTTAAATGAAGGTCCATTCTAGGGCAGCTCATTTAAAATGAATCGGCTGCCAAATCACCCTGCTTAAAAAATGCTTTAAAATTGCACATTACTCTTTTTTTCCCAATGCAATGCACTAAGGTGTTGAGGTGTTTTTCAATGCTGTACACAGCAGGTGCCTTACCTTAGCACATTAGCGTGCCATTCAAAATGAATGCCAACACAATGCAGTGGTTGTGGCTTTTCTACAAGCCTTCAGCCTGCTCTTGAACATGTTTTACCAATTTACTGCAAGCCTGCATCAACAACATACCGATATATTAAATGGATTCATCGATAAGAAATACTACATCTGTTTTATGTGTTGCAGAATAGAGTTCAAGCATATAAGCTGAGGACTGCTTTGTTGGGTTGCTTATAATAGAGTGACTATTCTGGGACAGGAATTCCTATTGTGAGAAAGATGTTCCAGGCAGTGTGTGACTGTCTGCTTAGTCTTAAAGCACTAATATCAATTTGCACTCAGCAACGTCTTAAGAAATGTGGAAATGTTCCTAAAAAAAAAGAAAAAAGACAAAATATATTAAAAAAAAAAAACTACTAACAAATTATTTGTGCTCAGTATAATCAAACAGTCATACTTTTACCAAGATGGTAAATACACCAAAGAGAAATGTGTCTTGGAGTTATGCAATCAGAAGGAAAGCATGTATTTCCATTTTTCAAGAGAAACCGCTGTTTTATTCAAAGACTACAAAGGAGGAACCCTGGCATTCCTTTAGATGTAGGCAGGAATTTAACTAATTATTATACCTTTATCTCTCACATTTATATATACTTTAGTGGCTGCCTATTTTACTGCTTTATGTCTGTTTTCCTGCATGTTCAAAAGAATGGCAGGGATGCCAGATTTCATATCCATAATGTAAACAAAGGCAGTCACCTGCTGCTGCTGTATAAATTATCCTCAGGCCAGGGGTGGACTGACAACTCATGGGGCCCCCGGGGATTAGGAGATCATGGGGCCCCTGTGTCCTTGCCCAAACTCAAAAAAGCCTATGAAAAAGGTACCAGGGGCATCTCATGGGGCCCCCTACTGACCCCAGGCCCTCGGGCAATGCCCATGTTTCCAAATGGTCAGTCCGCCCCTGCCTCAGGCTAATGTATGCAAGGATTGGGAGTTTGATTGAGAAGCCAATGAAGGGACATTATTGGTTGTTATCCCTAACTCAATTCATGCAAATGACCTATTGATTTGGTCATTGCTTGCAATGACTGGAAGAACATTGAACCATGTAGATCTTCCCTAGAGAGTACAGCAATGTTCAGAAGCACCTGTAGATAGTCGGCACCAGGTCTTCCATTTTCTATAGAGAGGACAGAGGGGTATCACCTAACATGCATCGCTATCATATGTCAACTAGGAAAAAAGATCGAGGTGTTACCATGACAAATTCAAAGGCAGGAAGATGTATCACTGCCTAATCATTCTCTTTTAGATGTCCGCTTGTCTAAAGGTGGCTATACACTAGTATATTTTCAAATGAACATTCATACGAATATTTGTATGAACATTTGTACACAAATTGTTATCAGTACATGCAATGATTTAGCTACTTTAGCTCTGGAAGATTTTACTCCCTTCATGACCAGGCCATTTTTTTTGCTATTCAACACTACGCTGCTTTAATTGGCAAATGTGCAGTCTGTACCCACTGTACCCAAATAAAAGCTTGGTTGACATTTTGATCACATAGCAATCACATGATCCCCAGGCTGGTCAAATTGATCCGGTACCATGAGCCACAATTTGCAGTGCCCCCCTTAACCTGAACAAGAACAATGACGTCACACATGCAGCCCCGCCAGATTATATGTATCGTGGTGGGTCAGCAAGTGATTAACAAATGTTGCTCAAAAATACTTCAAAAAAGGTTTGCTTTTAATGTTGGATTATGGAGTGAATGGATTTCAAGAATTAAACCAAATTCCCATTTAGAAAACCATTCATTCAAGAAAAAATTTCCATCCTGCTCCTTTGAAATTTCTCATCATTGTGGTTGAAAACGAGCATCAGTTTGACCCCATTAATGAGTAGGTTCTTAAAACAAGGAGCCATTGGCTCCTGCTACTGCTAGTGTCATTCAGATCATGTTAGAAGTGAAGGGGGCACACACAGCCCAGCTCAGGAGTGACTTGCTATGGTGGCACATGAAGAAGAGGAGGAGCCTCTGGTGGACCCCAAAGGAGGAGATTCAGGGCCACTCTGGTCAAAATCATTAGCATTTGTAAGTCCAATTTTTTAGAAAAAAAAATGAAAAGGTGAACTAATACCCTACAGCCTTCCCACCCCCACCCCTTTCTTTGCTGTATTTACTTCCATGGGTGATGAGCTGTCAATGCCCACACAGCTGGTTTAGTGGTCAAGAGATTCAAAATCCCTCCTATTCTCTCCCTTCCTTCTTCAGGACATAATGGGACAGATCAAATCAATTCTGAATGGTCAGCACACACAGCATTGGTCTCATCATCCCAGAAGCCCTCCAGAGAGTTGAGGGAGAAAAGCGGGCATTTAAAATCCTGGACCACTGTATCTGCTACGTGGACACTCATCATCCCCGGAGTTATGTACAGCAAGGACAAGGGGGGGGGGGAGGCTGTAGGGTCTTAGTTCATTTTTTCAATTTTTCATGAAAAGGTAAACTAACCCTTTAAACAAACTCTACCCATTTTTTTTTTTTTTTTTTTTTTTTTTGAGTGGAGTGCGTTAGGTCCTAATCCCCTTACAGCTGTGTGTCACCACTATCTGCTATTGTTACAAAAGCCAGTGTTCTGATGTAGGATGAAGTCCCTAGTTTATTGCATTCTCAAAATACAGTATGCCTGTGAAGAATTCATTTGAAAGAGACAAAAAGGGAAGTTCAGTTAATAACCAGAATTGTGACTCTAAAGGCCATCCCAGGGGAGGGGGGAGAGCTTACTGGCACAGTTGCAGATACCACCAAAAGTTTAGTAAGAAGCAAACCTACCACACTTCAACCAAAACAAAAAAAATTGTTTAGATTGAATTCGATCCAAATTTTTCTTTACATCATTTTTTTTTTTTTTACAGTCAACCTGTATGTTGTCAAACTGGATGGTGTTTAGTGAACAAACTTGGTTGAACAGAAAATAGTAAAAAATATCTTCTCTTAACCCCACTCTACAAAACCTATTTGACCAAGTCACTCCTAAATGGCCATCTAACGTTTGTAAGTATCTTTAGGCACATTATCACCTAAAGTGTACTTAGAGATGTTGCCATATTGTGCAAATAGCCACAATGATAGAGGGTCTGTGTTCCCCTTCATCACTCTGTTGCAGCTGCTGCTATTTTTTCTGGGTCTATTTACTGGTCCATGTCTTCTATCTCCAGCCATTGGTCAACCACTGACAATGTAACCCCCACAAAATTGTGTACATGCTGGGATTGTACCAGGGGCGGACTGACAACTCATGGGCCCCCTGAGCAATAGGGGATCAAGGGGACCCTGTGTCCTTGCCCAAACTCAAAAACGCCTATGAAAAAGGTACCAGGGGCATCTCATGGGGCCCCCTACTGACCCCGGGCCTCCTCGGGCAGTGCCCGAGTTTCCAAATGGTCAGTCTGCCCCTGGATTGTACACTGTATTGTGCGTCTGCATATTCTTCAACTATATAAATACACCTACTAGTGATTTCTTTTACATTTAAATCTAATTCCATTTTAAGGGAAATGCATCATAGTTTTGCACATATTTGCTTTCTGTAATTGTTTTGGGCAGAAAAAAAGAATAGTTTTTTTTTGCCAGGTAAATATGAAATAATGTATATTTTTTAAATAGCGTCTACAACTATTTGTTCCTTTAACATAAGTAGCCTGTTGACCAAAAAAATCTATTGAAAAGAATCTTGTTGCTTAAAAAAATCTAATTTAAATCAAAATGTATTAAATTGTAGCTTATCAGTCCTTAGATAGGATGGCTGCCTGTGTTTGCTTTTTTCAGTTTTTATTTTTACCTGGTAAGTCTGCAAATAACACACTTTTAGTCCTTGGTGGCTATGATCACTCCTCCACTGTATCTATGGATGTAGCTATGGGTGGCACACAAGCAGGACTTTAAAGGTGTCTTCCTCCATTCATCTCCATTACATGGGGTGATAGGATTAGTAGTTTTTACAAAAAAGATAACATTGTCTTTGCTTTCACCTTTCCTAGAGGAAATAATAAGGACACTGCATTTATGGCAAGATGAACAGACAGATTCTATGTTTGCTACATATATTCTTATCCTGGAAAAAGGGAAACTAATGGTGGTACCACATCTAAAGATTAGTAAATGCAATATATATATATTACTTTTGTATTGGGTTCAGGTATGCTTTAAGTGGCTCTAAAGTCCAGATGATTTTTACCTTAGTGTATTCTATGCATTAAGATAGACAACACAGGCAGCAATGGGAGCCACAGGAGAGGAGGAGCAGACAACTCAGGGGTACTCCAGAAGTGGTGCTAAGGGTACCCAATGTGCAGTACCAGTGCACAAAGCATTTAGATATACCCTCTTATTTTAATTAAAATAAATAGCTTTTCAATCACTTTAAGCTGCAATTAACATACACAGTTGGAAATAAATACGTCGTCATCCAAGTATCCAATAGCAGTCAGTGGTTCCAGTCAAACAAAGGATGCTGTAAAGCAAGCAGTAGCTTTAACTAATTGTGAATCCTTTGTCATGTTTTGAATGCTTATTTTAAAGCAATATACAACAATATATATATACTGGATATACATATCTTTAGGAATTTATGTGTCTCTTAATGCTAGTAGTATTTTATTCTACAGTATGGAGTCTTATTTCTGTTCCAGACAAGTACAAACTGCTGTTTATATACCTAACAAGTGCCTAATATTTGTCTGAATAATTGATTGGACAATGAGGCACTCATAATTAGTTCCTAGTCAGACTGGTGAAGCAGCCTTCCAGTCTCCAAGCTGTTTTAATTTATTAGTAATATATATAAGGCAAATACATCTAGAGGTTAACAGAGAAGCTTTTTTAATTTATTCTTGGGGGAAAATTAGGGATTACAGCGGTGTGAACAAGACAGACTCCGTCTTCTCAAAGCATCTGAGCATCCTAAATTCTCATACATCAGATATTAGGCAATGCATCCTAAGGGGCTAAATAGCTTTTTAATAACTGCTGTGCTTTTAGGTAAATATTTGTTTATTTTACTCAACCATATAATATAATGCTGATATTTTTGTAGCTAGGATATCATGTAATTGTACACTTGTACAGTAAATGAGCAATGTTTTTTCAAATGATATGTCTATAGCCAGAAAAATAACTGTTAGACATTCAATGTTCATTTCTGGGAGATAAAGTAATGCACACTTGCAGTTTTTGTATTGTTACCCACACTGCATTGCACTGGCATGCATGTAAAACCTGGCAGCACTAAAAAGGGGAAGACTTAATTTCCCATATATAGTGAGAGGCATTAAAATGTATTTCCACCATTTCAGCCACATTTGAGTTGTTTATTTGGAGCAGTCTAGGAGTCAATAGATGGATATTAATTTTCATATTAATTGTATATTCTTTTAATAATAAAGATCTGCCAGCACAGTAAAGACAGAATTAATTATGGTAAGCCAGACTCTCCAGCCCCCTCCCCTAAGCTCTAGGTATGATTTGTATTGCATAAATACTTTGGTCCAGCTTGGATCAATGCAAGTATTCTTATTTTATGACTGAAGGACTGCTGCGGAAGCCAACAATCACAGCACGGTTGAGATTGTGACATCACTGGCCTGCCACTTCACCTTGTATTCATTATAAAAATATTACAAGGCATTTTGTGAATGGTGGGTGGCACTGAGCAAGTGACCCTCTGTGTGACTATGCAGAAGGGAAGCCACTTGACACACGACCCAGAAAATGTAAGCGATCCCTTTTGTAGCGGTGACTTCTACAGTGTTTGTCACCGTCCATAGCAGTCCCTCAGATATGAGATATTATTATTATTATTATTATACAGTATTTATAAAGCGCCAATAGTTCACTCAGCGCTGTACATTACAAAGGGGGACAGAACATGTGACAGAACAATACCAATACAATGCAAAACATGAGGGGATCGAGGGCCCTGCTCTTTCGAGCTTACAATCTAGAAGGGGTGGGATAGTGGTACAGGAGGAGATAGCTGTGGGGGATGGAGTGGTAGGAAGAGTGGAGGAGGTCAGCAAGTTAGCAAGGGGTGAGGTAGGCTTCCCTGAAGAGATGGGTTTTCAGGGTGCGCCTAAAGGAGAGGAGAGTAGGTGATAATCTGATGGGTTGGGGCAGGGAGTTCCAGAGGATGGGTGACACCCTGGAGAAGTCCTGGAGGCGGGCATGGGAGGAGGAGACCAGGGAACTAGAGAGAAGGAGGTCTTGTGAGGAGCGGAGTGTGCGTGCTGGCGGTACTTGGATAATTAGGTCAGTGATGTAGTTCGGGGGCAGTATGGTGGACAGCTTTGTACGTCAGTGTTAGGATTTTAAATTGATCCGTTGCGCAATCGGAAGCCAGTGAGGGATTGGCAGAGGGGGGTGGCGGAAATGGAGCGGTTGGAAAGGTGAATGAGTCTGGCAGCCGTATTCAGGATCAACTGAAGCGGGGATAGCCAGCGGCGAGGCAGGCCAGTGAGGAGGGAGTTGCAGTAGTCGAGTCGTGATATGATGAGGGAGTGGATGAGCTGTTTAGTGGTTTCTGGGGTTAGGAACGTGCGGATTTTGGCGATGTTGCGGAGGTGGAGTCTGCACGAGTTTGTTAAAGATTGGACTTGGGGCTGGAAGGATAGGTTGGAGTCCAGAATGACACCAAGTACTCTGGCCTGCAGAGCGGGGTTTGATATTGACGTTGTTGGATGTGATGGTAGAAGTCAATGGGGGGTGGGGTTCGGGCTGGGGGGAAGACAAGGAGCTCGGTTTTGGAGAGATTCAGTTTAAGGAAGTGGAGCGACATCCAATCTGATATGTCGCTCAGTAGGTGTGTGATTTGGGCAGAGACCGAAGGGGTGAGGTGGGGGGGTTGAGAGATAGATTTGTGTGTCGTCGGCATAGAGGTGGTAGTTGAAGCCGTGAGAGTGTATGAGTTGGCCAAGGGAGGAGGTGTAGATGGAGAAGAGAAGGGGCCCAAGGACAGAGCCTTGAGGGACCCCCAACAGAGAGGGGGAGTGAGGGGGAGGTGGTAGCATTATAGGTAACGCTGAAAGAGCGTTGTGACAGGTAGGATGAGAGCCAGGAGAGAGCAGAATCTCTGAGGCCGAGGGAGTGTAGTATTTTGAGGAGGAGGGGGTGGTCAACTGTGTCGAAGGCCGCAGAGAGGTCAAGGGAGTAGGAGCACTGAATAGTGGCCATTAGCTTTGGCGGTTAGAAGGTCGTTGGAGAGTTTGAGTAAGGCGGTTTCGGTGGAGTGTAGTGGGGCGGGAAGCCAGTGGACTTGTAAGGGTGATCGAGGAGGTTGTTGTCGTTGAGGTGATAGAGCAGTGGAGTGGTGCTAGACGAGACGCTCGAGGAGTCTGTTTAGAATGTGAATGTGGGAGGCAGGGAGATGGGTCTGAGTTGTTCGTGTGGCTGAAGGGCATTGGGGTCCCAGGTGGGCTTTATAAGTATGAGGGTGATGTGTGAACATGCTTCAGTGTGGGAGTGTCGGGCACGGTGCCAGGCCGGGAGTAGGGAGAGATTAATGATGTGGGGTGAGGGAGCGTAGGATGGAGGGGGAGGGAGGTCGTAGGGGGAATTGTGAGGGTGGGATGGGGTCGATGGACGGGAAGGTGGGGTCGGATGCGGGCAAATCAGAGGGAATCTTGGAGTCTCCTCCACAGGGTAAAGTAAGGTCAAAAGGTGTGGAGTGTTGGGGGGAGCTTCAGTAAGTGGAATGATAGGGTTGGGTGGGAGGTGGAGGTCAGAGCAGTGGTGGGGCCGTTGGAGGGAGGGGAGGTGATGAGGGGGTAGCCGAGGGTGAGGGGGGAAAATGGGGTCGAGGAGGGAAGTTTGAGCAGTGACGAAAGTCCCTGCGGGTTAATTGTCCAGGGGAGGGGGGGGGGGGGAGTGGAGGGGGTAGCTGTGTGATGAGGGGAGGGGTTGAAGAGGGCGTGTGGTTAGTTGCGGCAAATGTCCTTTGCGAAATTGTAGTCAATCTTGTTTTGTGAGGGGAGTGAATGGAGCATCTTCTTCATGGGCGGGTGAGTGAGGGTGGGGGGTGGGGGGTGGGGGGTGGAGAGAGGGGAGAGTTGAAGGTGGAGAAGAGACGGCGGGATTGGTGGAGGAGGTAGCCTTTGATGAGGGTCCAGAGAAGGAGGCTTGTTTGGCTCTGCGGTGGAGGGAGTTGGGTGTGGGTTTGGGGGAAGGCAGATGGAGTATGCAGGTGAAAGCTCTGTTGGGATTTTGTATTGCGCCACATATGTTCGCTCTAGGGCACGACTGCGTCGATTGAGGGTTTTGAGGGTCGTGATCCAGTTCGCCAGGGCTGGAAGCGGTCGGGAGTCATGATTGTTGCGTGAGGTTAAAGGCGCTAGTATTCGTATGGGGGCCTGATGACAGCAACGTTGTTGTAGGTCCAGTCATCCGCCAAGTCTGCGGGCAGGACA